AGTTCTAGGCTGGGAAGGGTGCCAGCAGCCTGTGCCATCCCTCTGTCTGTTCCGGCAAAGGGAATAGTCATAAAATAATATTGGCACAGTTTCTCTTTAAACTTTTATTCTGAAGACAAGCTATTAATTCAGGTGAAGCTTCCTGCATCGATTGTGCTTCAAGCCACTGGAAATCCTAATGTGCTTATTGGAAGCCAGCCCTGTTTCACTCACTAAGGAGTGGGCAGAACCATTCACAGTTTATTCGGTCATTCAGCGAATATTTATTGAGTGCCCACTAAGTGTCCAGCGCTGTTTTGTTGTGTAGGGTATGTTAGCAAACCCCAGATTCAAAGTCTCCTGAATGTGTGGAACTTCATAAACTGTGAATTAATATACCAATTAATTGAAGCATATTAATATACTAACTGCTGCTTTTAAAAGAAAAAGCTAGAAAAGAAGGCGACTCTGGAGTGGTAGGAGGTCAGGACTCTGAACTTGAACTGGAATGAGGGGTCAGTGTTGTTCTTAGTGAGGTGACACTTGAGCTAGGAATAGATGCTTTTAGAAATTAGGTCCAAGCATGAGGTCCTAGGTTCTGGAAAGTAAGAAATGAAGGAAGAAGGGAAGAGGGGAAAGAGAAAGGGAGGGAAAGAGCGAGGGAGGGAAGGAGCAATACTGACCTGGACTTACTATTGAGATTCATTTCGACCTCAGACTTAAACTTGTCCTCAATATCTGGGGTTGTGTGGATTGGTTTCAGGATTTTAAAAAATCTGCAGATGTTTCCATCTCGCTTGTAAAATGGCATAGCATTGCAAGCAACCTTCTTCATTGCCTGTACACTTCCAACCATCTCCAGATGACCGTTAGTAGGTAACACAATATAAATACGTGGGCACTGTTGTACTGGATTGTTTGGGGGTTGACAGCAGAACATCTGTGCGTGACCCTGCAGACATGGCCGTGGTAACGATGGGAGCAGTTTTCCAACACTTCCCAAGCAGAGAGTGAGCGTGGATCTCTATAATGCAGAGAAAGAGCAAAGATAAACAAGTCAAAACGACCTGCAGCAATGGGAGGTGATGGTGGCCATGAAGGCCCCTCACTGCTCCTGCTCCCTAGAGAGGGAGGCTCTTCAGAGTGACAAAAGTGGATGGAAGTTGTCCCGTGGAGAGCACAAGTCACCAGGGAAACAGAGCCTTTTGAAAAGTGAACCCTGAGCAGCCACAGAAATGGACACATACATCAACTGAGCAGAGTAGAGGACCAGACGTGAATCTCTGTAGCTAGAGAAGCCTGATTTTTGACAAAAGAATCCAAAAACGCACTTTGGAGAAAAGACACTTTCTTCAGTAAGTGGGAAACTGAGTGTTCATGTGCAGAGGATGAAGTGACAGCCCCATCTTTCTCTCCGTACAAAAATCAACTTCCAAGGGAACAAAATCCAAAACTCTGCAGTCGTAAGAGGAAAGAGTGAGAGGCTCCACGACATGGGCACAGGCAAGCATTTCAACTGCTCTGGAAATAATGCCAGCTGCCAGCCAGGATTTCGTGAAATCAATAGCAAAGAGACTAACAGAAAGAGCTTGGCTACCTACACATCTGACATGGACTAATACCTGGAGTGTGTGTGTATTTTAAGGTTAAAAACCTTAAAAACCAAATGCCTGGAAATCAAACAATCCAGTCTATAAATGATCTAATAAAATAAACAGACAATCCTCAGAAGGTGAAGAATAAATATCCTGCGGTTGATTTTTTTGCCGACATGACATGAGCCAGAGTTATCTGGGAAGAGGGAACCTCGGTGAAGAAAATGTCTCCATCAGATTGGCCTAAATCTATGGGGCATTTTCTTGATCAATGATTGATATGGGAGACTCCTGTGAGCAGTGCCACAAAAAAACCTCACAAAACTAAAACCAGGTCCAGTTATACCCCACGGAACTCCTCTGTCTCTTGGTTTATGTTAGCAAGCTGTATGTATATACAGAGCTTCACTGTTTTGGAATGAACTGTATCACATTTTTCCTGTGTCATGTCCATCCACAGTCACGCATGGGCATATAAACAATTGCAGAAGTACTCATCCATTTTGCTAAAAAAAAAATATCCTCAATGAAATTTTATGTGAATTCAAGAATTACTAATTAGAATCTATGTTAAGGCTGTGTTGATCCACGGTATATTAGCAATACTTTTTAAAATATCTTCAACCAGTATGAGCCTAACAGAGCCTTCTGACCACAATCATTTGAAAACTGTTTGAAATGGTGGAGAAGAAAAGGCTGCCGCACACTCTCAATGACAGGGTCAATGGCGCTTACAGCAATTCTAAGCCGCCGTGAAAACACGAGTTCTGTTGAGGAGAGGTGGGGTTTGTAACCGTTTGAGAGCATCTTGTGTGCTTCTTTTATCGTGCTTCACTGGCGTGTTGGCTGCATGTCTGTCTGCTTGAGATAAAGTCTCACCCTGCAGCTCAGGTTGACCTTAAACCCTAGCAGCTCAAGATGGCCACCAACTCCCAATGCTCCTGTCTTGGGCCTCCCAAGTGCTGGGATGGCAGGTATGGCACATCTAGTCTTACTTTGTGTAGGTTTCCAATGGGTGACTGTGGCTCTCAAATCACTACACTATCAGATACCATTAGATACAGCAAGAATACTGTCACTCTAGGATGTAAATATGTATAATATCTAAAAGTCTAAAGGTTGCACCTGTTTTGGTCTTTTACACATATAATCAAAGCATTTGGATGTTGAATTTAAAATATTGGAGGGTTGATTGTTTTTCTAGTAATTATTCATATTATTATTTGGGGTAGAGTCAAACCAGTAGGAGGGCCGTGTCCCAGGGTCTAGAACATCCACAGACTGAGGAACTTAGAGTACTCCCTTAATGGTGTGCAGCTAGGGATGCTATATTAGGAAGCTGAAGGCGAGCCTCTGAGTCTTGAGAAAATGGATTTATGTTTGGAATTCAGCTCTCTAACTTCTGCTGGATGATGAATTCAGGAAGGATGAAAAATGGTCGCAGGAAAAAAAACCAAAAACAGGAAGCTTGAAGTCCTCAACTTAGAGGGCAGATACAGGAACCAAGTTATATGAAACACAAAACTTCAAAGTTAGTATTATCTCAATGGAATTACGGTAGTGTGCAAAAAAGGCCAAGGAGAGAGTGAGTAGCTCACCTTGCATCAAAGACAGAAACAAACCAGCACTGTACCATGTTTCATTGAAATGAAGCAAACACGTTCTCATCAACTTGTAGAAGAGGTTATTGTTAGACAAGAGGAAAAACAGGCATGTACTCTGAACGTCTCTAGCAGGCCCGAGCCTGGCAAACATGGCATTCATAGGTTTTGCCTTTTACCTTTCTCTCCCTTGCCAAATTAACTGGTTGCATTCCTAAAGGTAGCCACCAAGGTCTTCCCTTATTTGGCCACTGACTCATTCCTGAGGCTGATTACCAAGGTCCAACTATCAAAACATAAGGTCTGGCAATCAAAATCCATTATTTTGACTAACCTAATTAAAATACCCAATCAGAACTTACTTACACATCCAAGTTCATTGTAACACACAGATCTCTCCTTTATCCCTCTTAAAATTAACTCTTGCCGAGCCGTTTGCTGCTGTTCCTGCCCGATGCCGATCCAGGACCTGTCTCTTTGCCTTGCTTAATAAAGGATCTCTTGGCATTTGGTTGTGCTTGGAAATGGATGCTTTGGTATGGTCTGTGCCTAATCCAGGGTCCAGAAGGAAGCACCCCAGAGTATGCAGGTACCTTCACATTCTTTTCTTCTTCCTTTTCCAGCCACTTCAGGTTATCTTTATATCAGAATGCCAAGGTCTAGATCTCAGGAAATGAGTTTCCTTGATTAGAAGGAGTTTTTACCACAATTCCAAACTTTCAGTCATTTGTTTCTAGCGTGAGCAGCCAGTGAGAACGCTGGGGGAGCCATTTTATGGCCTGTGTATAAATGGAAAGTGTGGCTATTCCAGAAGAGTCCACTTAATGCATATCAAACAGCTGTTACAGGTCTGGTGAGATGGGTGAGCTGCATGCAGAGGGTGGCTGTGTTTCTGCACCTGGATCCAACTTCGCTCTTAGCCCAGCAAAGGAGACATGATTTGCTTACCTACCACTTAGACAGCAGATGATCCTGAGCATCTGAGAGGGACATGTTTAAAAATATTAATTACAGCCGGGCGGTGGTGGCGCACGCCTTTAATCCCAGCACTCGGGAGGCAGAGCCAGGTGGATCTCTGTGAGTTCGAGGCCAGCCTGGGCTACCAAGTGAGCTCCAGGAAAGGCGCAAAGCTACACAGAGAAACCCTGTCTCGAAAAACCAAAAAAAAAAAAATATTAATTACACCTGCCATCACAAAATAGCTAACATTCCTGCCCCTGATTTTTCAACTCATAGCTGTTTCCAAAAAATGCATAAAGTGGATTCCAATCAATCAATGCTTATAGTGGAAATCAAATATCTGTCTGAAATATATTCCTCTCAGTAAGCTATGAATCCAGAAATTGGGTGTTAACTTCCAGTGTGCAGCTCCCAGGGTGGCATAAAAGGAGTAATACCAAATAACTCTCCCTGTCTGAATTTTATCTCAGAAATACTGGTGTTAGAACCCAATAACAGTTTAAGTCAGTGTAAAAATGGACAAGGGCTGCCGAATCTGTTTTATGCTCTAAAACTCTTTGAATTCTCCTGGGTGTATTGTGTGTGCATATTTGCGTGTGTTTGCATGTGTGCTTGTGCATATGTGTGCACATATGTTTGTGCATGTGTGTCCACACATCTGTGTGTCTATAAGCGCATGCCCATTTGTAGTGGGTTTCAGAGCAGATCTGTAAGCATTGACCTTGCTTGACAAAACCTGACTGGGGATTTGAGATTCATAAAGTTCTTATCACTGACCCTTCCTTGACAGGAATCAAATCTGACTCTTCTGTGGGTAAAATAATAAGTGTTTATTACACATGACAAAAAAATAATATGGCTTTCTGCGTGCACTATTTCGACCCAGGAAAATATACTTTGCTCCTGTTTTAAAGATAGATTTTTTTAATGCCAAAGTGGAAAGAAAAAATAAAAATGATTTAGATGAAGGTGTCAGAAAGTGTGAGCACTGGTCTCATATTGACATGATCAAGACTTATGAGCAGAGGTGAATCTCAGTCCAGAAAACAGTTGGAAAAGAAATGCTCTCAGTGGTGTCAGCCTTCCTTGGAAATGGCAGTCTCTGTTGACTGAAAACTGCTCTGGCATCATCTCAGAGGCTCCACATTTCGAGGACTTTTGCTTCTTTGATGGAGCATCCAGATCTGAATGGCATCAGAAAATGAAGTGAACTCACACCAGCCCTGTTAGATTTGTACGAAGACGAAGAGTCTTGTCCACCATTGGGTGTTAATTTCTGGTTCCGTTTCTTCACTTGTGATTTCTTCTCTTGATCTGTTTCCCAGCTCTGTCTGTGAAGTCTAGGCGATCTAGACTGAGTCAGTTAGCATTCTGTGGCTGGAAGACTTCAATGCTAACTTCCTAAGCACATTTTAAGTAGGCAATGCTAGGTGGATTTGCAAATACCAAAGTCAGAGGAGTCAGCTGAGATGACTGAGGAGACAGAAGGTATTTTAGTCAGGCTTTCATACCTGTGGCAGACACCTGAGAGAAGCAATTTGGGTTTGCGTTAGCTGAAGGTTTCAGTCCATGGCAAGCCACTTTACTTCCATGGGCCCGAGAGGAGGCTGACCATCACAGGGCGGAAGGAGACAGGCAAGAAGGGGGAGAATGTAGCCTGAAAAGAGCCAGTGACAAGACAGCCTGTGAATGGACTTTCCTTTCCTTTCTGCCAGTTCCCAAATAACCAACATGGAGACTCAAGTTAATTATAAATGCTTGGTTGATAGCTCAGGTTTATTACTAACTAGCTCTTAGAACTTAAATTAACCCATTTCTATTAATCTATGTGTTGCCATGGGGCTCGTGGCTTTACCTGTCCTCCAGCATGTCTTGCTCCCTCTGCATCCCCTGGCAACTCTTCTGATTCTGCCCTTCTTCTTCCCAGAATCCTCCTAGCCTGGCTCTCCTGCCCAATGTCTCCTGCCTAACTATAGGCCAGTCAGCTCTTTATTAACCAATGAGAGTAATACATATTTACAGTGTCCAGAGAATGTTCCACAGCAATACCATTTGTGGATGTTTGAATAAGACTATCCCCCACAGACTCGGCATCTGAACTCTTGGCCCCCAATTGGTGGTGCTGTTTGGGGAAGTTCAAGAGGTGTGGTCTTGGAGCAAGTGTGTCATTGGAGGCAGGTTTTAAGAGTTTAAAGGCTCATGACCTTTACAATTGCTCTCTCTGCTTCATGTTGGCTGTTCAAGATGTGAGCTCTCAACTTCCTGCTCCTGCTGCCATGCCTGCCACCTGCCTTCATGCCTGCCACCTGCCTTCATGCCTACCACCTGCTGCCATGATGTTCCTGTCATTATGGACTCTCCCTCTGGAACCATAAGCTGAAATAAACTCTTTCTTCTGTACGTTGCTGTAATCAGGATGTCTTATCTCATCTAAAGAAAAGTAACTAGTACAAAAGGTATCAGTTAAGAAAAAGGTGGATGAGGGCTAGATGCTACTCTCTGGAGCCAGGCCAAGAGTAGCTCAGCAGGAACGCAACCACAGGATCACCCCAACAAAAAGTGTTACCAGCTGGAGGACTAAACAATTAACACATGGCCCTGTGCAGGACATCTCATATGCAAACTATTCTGAAAGGCTGGCCAAACGTCTTTTTTTCTTTAATTATTATTCTCTTGTACTTTACATTCCAACCACAGTCTCCCTCCCTCCTCTCCTCCCAGTCCCCCAATTTTCTCTCTTTCCCATATCTGCTCCTCCTCCATTTCCCTTCAAAAAAAAAAAAAAAGAGCAGGCCTCCCAGGAATATCAACTGAATATTGACCAAGTGTTCTTAATGACTTGCTTTAACTACAGGTCCTTACTTATCAAACAGGGGTGGTAACCCCAATTCTGCATAAGTCAAAGGATTCCAGTGCCTCATTTGATAATGTGTATAAATGTGTGTGTGTGTGTGTGTGTGTGTGTGTGTGTGTGTGTGTGTGTGTGTTGGATGTACGTGTCATATGGTCATGCACATATGTGCATGTGGATGATGTCAGTTGCCTGTCTTGATTGGCCTTCAACTTACGTTTTTAAGGTAGGATCCTATTGAACCCGGAGCTCACTATTCTCCTGTCTTTGCCCTCCCCCAATGGTGGGGTTATAGTGCTATACCACCAGTGCTGAGGATCCAAACTCAGGTCCTTAGGCTGGCATAGCAAACACTTTATCAGTTGAGCCATCTCTCATGACCCATAAATGAACTTTAACTTTTAAAAGTGTGAAAAACAGGCTGAAGAGATAGATCAGTAGTTAAGAGTATTTGCTGCTCTTGCAGAGGACCTGGCTTCAGTTCCCAGCAGCCACATGGTGTTTCACAACTGCCTGTAACCCAGTTCCTTGTGCCCTCTCAGAGCACTGCATGCATATGGTGCACATAACATATACCCAGGCAAAACACTCATATACATTAAAAAAAGTAAAATATTTTTAAAAATAAGCTCTAAAACATCACAGAAATGGAAGCTGTCAACATTTCCTTTCAGCCCCTTTATTTGTATGTTTCCATTTGAGAGAAGGTATGATTGAACATCAAGCAAATTGATCCTATCGTCAGCCCCTGTCTATTCATGGTTAGAGAACAAATGCCCCACACTGACTGTACCTCTCAGTCAATAAATTGCACCTTCCTCCTCCAGTGGCATCAAACTAATTGGATTCATATATTTCATGAGGGATTACAAAGTTCCAAGAGGAAAAAGTGTTTAATCAAGACTTCTCCATGGCTGGAAACACTTCAGGAATCTGCAGGCTGTCAGGTGTTGTTGAAAATCCATTTATTTATTTATTTATTTCTGGTTTTTCAAGACAGATTTTCTCTGTGCAGTTTTTGCGCCTTTCCTGGATCTCGCTCTGTAGACCAGGCTGGCCTCGAACTCACTGAGATCCACCTGGCTCTGTCTCCCGAGTGCTGGGATTAAAGGCATGCACCACCCACCACCACCCGGCTTCAAAATCCTTTTAATCTGAATTCCTTCCAAGTTTAAAGATTCACACAAAAAAATATCACCCCAGCTTCCAGTCATTTATTTCATGTGTACAAGGGCTCCCTCCAAGTTGAACTTTCCTGATTCACACATTTTTTGAAAAGCCACAAAGAACAGTTTTTATTTTTATTTGTTGATTATGTGTACAAGCATTGAGCCTGCGTGTATATAATGTGTGCCATGTGCACACAGTGCTGACAGAGGTCAGAAGAGGGCATTGGAGTCCCTGAAACCAGAGCTACAGATGGCTGTGAGCTGCCACGTGGGCACTGAGAACCAAACCCAGATCCTCTGCAAGAGCAGTAAGTGCTCTTAACTGCGGAGCCATATTTCCTAATTCATACTTTGAACATACAGCTAGAAACTAGCCTACTGAACTGCTAGGAATGTGTCTATCACCTTGAATCCTACTCTTCCTACCGTATTCTGTCAATGCCAGTCTCTCTTCTTTGGAGGATCCTGCTCGTGCGCAAATGCTGGTGTGTGGGAGAGTCAGAAGGAATGTGTGTGTGCTTAAAACAAATGTTATGCTGTGGGAAGAAGTTAGGGGGAGATTAATAGGGTATAAAATTTCTAATAACAATAGGATATTAGAAGAAAATAGGAGAATAATTACTTGAGTACATAAATAATATGCTTCACACTTACTATTTCACATTGGCTGGATTCATAATTTATTTCTTTAATAAACTTCAGCATTTTCTACAAGTGTATCCCAGTTGTCTTTATCATCTGCGGAATGGGGAGACTCATTATGAAATGTAACTTTATCATATAAGCACATTTCTAATCACTGTTAAGAAATTATTTATGAACATGGAACACAGTAGTACCCATCAAGGTTAAGACCTGCAGATCACACAGCCTTATCCTTGTTCAGCCCTGTTTGTTTCCATTTCTGTATGGAGCTTTGAAAAACATAACAAACACAATGTTTTTTGATATATTATTAAAACCTTGATAAATTTCAACATAGAGGATTTACCTTTTGTTCAAACTTTCAAATCCTCTAGAGCACTGAAATTTTAAGTAAGCATGTGATGATAATGCTATCTGAGGTTCTGGTTTCATTGGAAGTTGAACAGATTGTTGTTCCTAAAAGTTTATTAAACATGTTTTGGATATTACTGTCAAGTAGTTTTAGTTTCATGCAAGTCAAATGTTGTAGCTGCAGCTCCTCTTCTTCTACACATGCAACTTCTTTGTGGCCGTGAGAACAGGAAAAGCTAAAGGAGGAAGGTGTGCGGAGGAAGGCCACAAGAAAGAGCGCCCCCAGCCATGAAGAAAGTGGAGATGCCTTAAAGGCAAATCTCTCCACACACTCTCCACAAATTTCACCCCACAGCAGGAAGAGAAAACAGACCCACTACGCCCCAGGCATTCAGCGTATAAAATTAAAAGGGGCACTGAACACTCTGGGTTAGCATGACAGGTAAATGTCAAGATCCCACAGACTATCACCTAAATCTCTCCCATTAACCTTTCTGTGAAGGATCAGCAGACGCTCTGGAAAGAACAGAAGGAACAGGTTAGGAAACAGGAAGTCAAGGTTAGGAAACATGAAGTCAAGTATGAGACGTGACAAAGGCTCCCTGTGGACAGGGGCCATAACCAGAGGGAAGTAACTGAAGACCAGGCCCGACCTGGAGAGAGACAGTGAGGTGCAGAGAGGCCAGGAGAGCTGGGGATGGGGAAGAAGAAATACAGCAGTGGTTCTCAACCTCCCTAATGCCGTGACCCTTTAATACAGTTCCTCATGTTGTGGTGACCCCCAACCATAGAATTATTTCATTGCTACTTTATAACTGTAACTTTGCTACTATTATGAATCATAATGTAATGTCTGATATACAGGATATATGATATGTGATCCCCTCAAAGGGGTCTTGACCCACAGGTTGAGAAACACTGAAATATAAGGTTCTGTAAGGTAAACCAAATGTAGAAAGGTGCACGCCCTCTGCTCAATCCATACAGAAGGGGGCGTTGTGCATAACAAAAGCATGTGTTGCTGGGTCATCCCAAGCCATCATCCATGTACACAAAGGGCAGGAGCATGGGGAATCTTTATTTATAAAACCCCATGAGAAAAACACAACCTCAAGGTTAATGCATACAAGCTTCTCTCTTCCCTCAAATAACCATAAAGCAGAAAAGATGTAAGAAAAAGTCCTAGAAGATGGAGAGAAGGCTCAGCAGTTAAGAGCAATTACTGCTCTTTCAGAGGACCAGAGTTTGGTTCCCAGCACCACAATAAGTAGCACACAACCTCCTATAACTCCAGCTCCAGGAGATTGCTTATTCTCCAAAGGTACCTGCACTCAGATGTGTGAATGCTCTCTCTCTCTCTCTCTCTCTCTCTCTCTCTCTCTTTCACACACACACACACACACACACACACACACACACACACACACATACGCACACAAAGACACAAATAAAGTCAATCTTTAAAAAAGAGAAAAGAAAAACCCTAAACTAAATTAAATGTAATTAAGTAAGTATTTGGAACTAAAAAACAAAAAAATATTTTTTTTAATTATAGGAATAAATAAAACAATGGTTACATTTAGAAAAGCAAAAACAATTAAAAGAGAAATAGAGAATGTCATAACAGAAATAGCTGGTATTGATCTGGCATGGTGGCCCACACCCGCAGTCCAGTATTTGGGAGATCACACAGTGAGTCCTGGGCCCACCTGGACAAGATTGTGGACAGTCTGAAAAAAAGAAAAAAGAAAAGAAATCATAGTGGCCAAGAAAAAAGTGGTGGAAATCAAACAGAGGCACAGAGGAAAATAAAAGTAGAAAATCCAAAAGGAAAATAAGACACACGGAGAGGAAAGAGGGTGAGGAGAAATGCTCGCCAGGAAAGTAGTTGGCAGGCAGACGAGGAGGAGCCAACACAGATAAAAATGGAATCCTGGCAGTTGGAAATCAAATAATTAAAGAAAGCTACAATTTATATTTAGAATCCAGTTAAACTTCTAGAAAGAAAAATTGACTCAGCACAGTGGGAATACCCTCACCCCAGCACCTGATAGAACAGACACAGAATGATTAATTCTGATACATACATAAGAAAAGGAATTAAGCTGCAAAGGTGAAGAAAAACAGTCAGAGAGTGTTAAAATATAAAGATCTAATTATTTATAAGGGTGACAGAGTCCAGCTAAGGTCAGGTTTCTAAGAGCAGCATAGAAACCACAACAGGGAACAAAACCGAGCAATCATGCTGTGTGTGGACAGCAGCAGGGCACCTGCCTAGGTGGGGGGCACGTCCCTGGGTTTGAGTTTCACAGAAATAACAACTAATTCACTAATTGTCAATAAGTGATCAAGATTGCATTAAAAGAAAAAAATCAACCCAGAAGAAAGAATAATAAGCCCAAGACTTGATTTTTTTCAGTCCTGCTGACCTTTGAATACTAAACCACAAAGTATGTAAGGACAATGGGAATTCTGTGTTCATCCTTCTTGGAAAACTTTACTAGAAAAATGAGTCTTTTCCTTGTATGGCTGATCTTGTTATCAACAGGATTGGGTTGAGAAATGCCTAGGAGAAATCACACACACACACACACACACACACACACACACACACACACACACACACACACATCTCCTATGACCAGCTTCCACCTCCTACCATTCTACCATCTCCCAATAGTCTATTCAAAATTTGATCCATCCACTGATTCAGCCACAGATGAGCCCTTATGATCTATCTCTAGAAAGTGTGTGTGTGTGTGTGTGTGTGTGTGTGTGTGTGTATGTGTGTGTTTTCCTCCTCATGGTGGACTAAAACCTTTGAAATTGTGAGTGACATGAATCTAATGCAGTCCTAGCCAGTAAATATTGCAAAAACAACAGGAGGAATTAATTATATTTAACTATAGATGTAAAATTAAAACAAAGAGAGGAAATCACCATCCAGATGGCATATCATCTGATGGAGTGGAAATAACCCCATTGAAATAAGGGCTCTGGGAAGAGGGACAGATAAGAGGGTTCGCTCATCTGACTGTGTGGATATGAAGCAGAAGTCAGGGACGCCAAAGGGAATATCCATCCAATGACAAACACATGACCAGGCACAGGATTGAATCTATAACACGAGTACTCAAACCAAAAGCTAGATGGTCTTAAATACCAAGAACATACCACATACAGATGGCAACAGGGACAGATGTTTACATACACG